AGGGTCTTGGCACCGAGGTATCCAATGTCCTCTGGTTTCCTAAACTCGGGCTACTCCAGTGGTGCATAATTGTTAGCCAATTGTTCTTTTAGGGGTGAGAAAATAGTGCTTATCTGGTCCATTAGCCCTACCCATTGTGTTCAGGACCAGTGTGGATGCTAGGCTTTTCCTTCATGCATCCTCCAAGCTTGGCTTCCTCAGTGACAGTGGGATGGGACAGATGAGAACCTGGCAGACTGCCATAGAGCAGTGATGACCCTTGAGGAGGTGTAATGGACCCTAGACCCTAGGGGAGGGACTTCTCTCTCCTCAATTCCTGTAGACTCACTTGAGGAGTCGCCCACACCAGGGCAAATGGTAAGAAAGAGGCAGAGTCAGTATTCTGGTCAATCCAGAATGAGTGAGGCCCAGTGTTTATTCCAGCCCAAGTCCAATGCACTTCAGCCCCTGGGTTCTGCTACATTTTTATCACAGTCCACTATTAATTAATTTTCCTGGGGTCCAGGTGGGAGAGGTAAGAGCTTATTGTTTGGACTTTGTAATGTCCTTCATTTTTCCTCAGGCACATGGTAACCTGTACAGGGTTGAGGAATGGAAGACAGTCATGAGTTATGGGGCATGACCCTTGCTGAGAGCCTGTTGTGTGTAGCTGTGGACCCAGCCTTGCTCCCCAGAGAGGGCATGAAGGCAGCCCTGGTGAATCCCAGGAGCATCGCCAGGAACCAAGGTTATTGGAACTGGTCTTCCTTGCTGACTTTGTGCATTTCTGCCCGGCCCCTACCCCAAAACCTGAGACCAGGCTTAGGGAGAAGGCACCCAGGTAGAGTATTCATGAGCCTTGTTGAGAGAACTCTCCACTGATTGAGAAAGTAACAGGGAGAGTTTAAAGGAAGTCTACCTGGAACTTTCTCCCAAATAAATTTATTCTTTCTTTCTTTCTGTCTGTCTGTCTGTCTGTCCCTCCCTGTTTCTGCCTCAGTTTCTGTCTGTCTCTTCATCTTTGTCCTTTCTTCATCTCTGTCTCTGTTTCAAACTTTGTCTCTTTCCAACTATCTTGGTCTCCCTCTTTCTGTCTATGTCTGCCTCAGATTATCTCTCCAGCTCTGTCCCTCCATTTTCAATTCTGTTCAATAAGCATTTGCTAAGCACCTACTGTGTGCCAGGCACTGTGCATTTTCTCACTCTCTTTCTCTGTCTCTCTCTGATACACAGAAACTTCTTCTCTCTCAAATTCTTACTTAGACACAAATCCCCTCCTTTACATATGAATAGATGCACACACTAGTGTTCTGCACTTCCTAAATTCACATTGTCATTCACATTGACTCATTGATATGCATCCTCTCTTGTAGATGCATATATGCAGCCATAAGCACACCTGCATTCTCAGAGACACACACTTACTCATTCTTGGATAAGCCTGCTGGATCATGAGATCCCAAAGTTGGAGCTGGGAGGGATATTGGAGACCTGCTATTCCAATCTCCTCATTCTCTAGAGGAGGAAAGTGAAGCCTAGTGACTTGATGACAGTCAAGTATAGGACAGGATTTGAACCCAGGTCTTCTGGCTCCAAATACAGGGATTGTAGTGATCATTCCACTGTGCCACCAGAAAGACTTCCCCTCATGCGGATGCTCATTCTCTCTCTGTCTCTCTGTCTGTCTCTTTGTCTCTCTCCCTCTCACATAGACACACACACACACACGCACAAATATACTATACATCTGTACACTCCTGTCTCATACGCACATAGATCCCATGCATTCCTCTCTCTCTCACTCTCACACCCACACACACACCCACACACTCACACATGCACAAATATACTATACGTCTATACACTCCTGTCTCATAAACACACAGATCCCATGCCTTCCTCTCTCTCTCTCTCTCACACACACACACCCACACCCACACCCCGACACACCCGCACAAATATACTACACATGTATACACTCTTGTCACATACACACACAGATCCCATGCCTTACCCTCTCTCTCTCTCTCTCTCTCTCTCTCTCTTTTTGTCTCTCTCTCTCTCACTCTCTCTTTCACACACACACACACACACACACACACACACACACACACACACAGAGCCCTTAGTGGCTCTTAGGGGTTGCCCAAGTTCTCTTACCATGAAGCAGGACAGAAGGCACAGGATGAGCCTCAGGAGCATAGCCAGGCACATGAGAATGATGGCCCAGTAGGGCAGGTCTAGGGGGAGAAGAGGTGATGCTGAGGGGCCTTCATGGGGACAAGGGGACAGCACAGAGTGGGGAATAAATGTCCTTTGGAATTCCCACCCCATGGGAAGGGAGGGGACAAAGAGCAATCCATGGGGAAAATGGAGGATGGAGGCTGAAGGATGCAATTCAGAGCATCCTCCCACCTCCCACACCACCAGACCTTTGCTCTTCAGAAGAAGCTGACCTAGGAGAAAGGGGGTGGGCAGACTATGGGAGTGAATTTAGAAAAAGCAGCTGGGGCTCAGGACATAGGAGAAAAGGAATTGGGCAAACTGAGGGAAGGTCACTTAAGGCAGAAAAGATGGTTCAGGGACCCCAGTGTCATAACCTGGGACAAGGGAGGGTGATAGTGCAAGGACCCAATGTCAGAACAGAGAAAGGTGACAGTGATACTGAATCATATCCAATGACAGGGAATGACTTAAGGTGCAGGGCACAGAACCTTCCCCATGTCCACTGCCCTCCCCAGGGTGCTCAGGAAGGGGAGATATACCCAGGGATCTGACAATTGGTAGGGATGACCGCTGTTCATTTGTCTGATGAACACAGTCGAAGACAGTGTTCTTGGATGCTCAGCATTGAGTGCTGGCTAGGGTGAGAGGAAAGTCATCCTGGACACTCAGTTCCTGCCCTCCCCCAACTCTCCTACTCTTCAAGGATCACCCTCAGCTCCCCTTCCAACACACACACATATAGGGAACTGGTATGGGGCGAGGCTGATGCCATACTCACCAATTTTCTTAGTTTTTTCATCTGTTCTCTTGGTAGAATATCCTGAGGACAGAGAAATATGGAATAAGGGGAGGACACCTAAGGGTCTTGATCTGGGGAGCTGGACTGTGTGAGGAAGAAGAGGATGAGAGGACAAGAGATGGAGAGGCCATAGGGGACAAAGAGACTCCAGGGGTCACGGAGGGAGGAAAGGATATGGGGATCATAGAGACAGATGACTGTAGGGTACAGGGATGGCAATGGGGGACACAGTCAGAGGGAGGTGGGAGTACAGGCATCAGGGGATGTTGAGGGAGGGTCTTTTGGGCTTGAGATGTCAGGAGTCTAGCATCCCGGGAATTCCTCATCCCACCCCACAGCCCATCAGTGTTCAGATGGAGAGACCAGGCTGGAGGGTCCCTCACCATCCACCAGGAGACTGTTTGGATCCAGGGTAAAGTTCTGTAGCTGGGTGCCATCATGGGTCAGTCTGAGGACCTCTTGGTACGTAGAAGCCCTGTCAAAGTTCCGGGCCTGAGCGGCTGATGTGAAGTCACATGAGCAGTCCACTTCTGTGAGGCGTCTGGGAGAGAGGAGCCTAAAGAAGAAGAGGGCAGGGTGTGGGTGAATGAGAGAGGAAGAAGGCAGGTAGAGAGGAGAGGACAGGAGCAGTGATGGCCTCAGGGGAGCTGGGGCATGCTGAGCAGCCTTCTGGCCCTGGCAGGAAAACCTGCACCTCCCCACCAAAACTAGACTTCTTACGTGTTTTGTGAATACATGCATCTAGATGGGCTCCTTGAGGACACGGATGGCTTTAATTTTTGTATCTTTTGCCCTGTGCCTGACACTTCGAGTATGCTGCTTAAAACCTTATTGAAAGGCTGATTGCTTCTATATGTGTATAGATTTACATGTTGTCTCTCTATGTTCCCCAGCACGTGTCCCACTGCTTGGGACATCGTGGGATGTTTATAAATGCTTGTTGTTTGGTTGATTAATGGATGTATTGGTCACTCAGGCAGTTTGGCAACATACTGCTTTCTGTGTCTCCTGGACCCTTCTCTGGGTGCTAATTGTACCCAGGGCCACACAGCGAGTAAGTGTGATGTGTTTGGTCTGAGACCGGATTTGAACTCAGGTACTCCTGACTTCAGGGCCTGTGCTCTATCCACTGCACCACCTAGCTGTCCCGTAAGTAAAATGAGACTTGGGCTGTACAGCCCAAGGAAGGAAAATTTCCTCCAGCCCTGACACTGAGCCTGTGGGGAGATTCCCCCTCACCACCTCCCTTCCCTGGATTCTCTTCCACATCTGAGTTACCTGCCCCCTCAGGGCAGATGAGAAGGGAGAGAGTTCCAGGCATGGGGGACGGCCGGGGAAACACTCAGAACTGGGAGCTGGAGAATCATGTATGGGCAACAGCAAGGAGGTCAGAGCCACTAGATTGATGAATACATGGAAGGGACCAACGTATAAGAAGACTGTAAAGGCAGGATGGGGCCCGTTTACAAAGGCTTTTAAGACAAATAGGAAAGTTTCTATTTGATCCAGGAGGCAACAGGGAGTTACTGAGATGTGTTGAGTGGGAGGGAGGGAAGAGAAATGATCAAATTTGCACTTTAGGAAGATCGATTTTGGGCAGCGAGGTGGCACAGTGGATACAGTGCCAGCGCCCTGGAGTCAGGAAGACTTCCTGAGTTCAAGTCTAACGTCAGATGCTTACTAGCTGTGTGACCCTGGACAAACCATTCAACCCAGTTTACCTGACTTTCCTCATCTATAAAATGAGCTGGAGACGGAAATGTCAAACCACTCCAGTATCTTTGCCAAGAAAACCCTAAATAGGGTCACAAAGAGTCAGATGCAACTAAAACAACTGAACAACCAAAATCAGTTTAGCTGCTGAGTGGGTAGATTGGAGTGGGGAAAGTTTGAGGCAGGCCGAACCAGGATTGCGATAGTCCAGGTACGAGGTATCATCACTAGATGACTAGGTGTGAGGGCCTGCACTGGAGGGTGGCAGTGCTAGAGGAGAGAAGGGGGCATATTCGGGAGATGTTACAGGGGTGAAATTGACTGTGGCAACAGCTTGGATGTGGAGAGTGAGAGATGGTGAGGACTCCAGGATGACTCCTAGTTTGTGAGCCTCAGCGACGAGGAGGATGGTGGTATCCTTGGCAGTAATAGGAAAATTAGAAAAAGGAAGATACGGAGGAAAAGATAATGAGTTCAGTTTCTGACATGTTGAGTTTAAAACATCCAGTTCAAAATGTCCCAAAGGCCATTATGCCAATGACAGTGAAGGAAACAACGTTTATCAAATCAGGTACCACCTCCTATGGGAAGCCTTTCCTAATCCCCCCAGCTGCTCTCCCTCCTCAAATTATACTATATTTACTTACAGGCTTAAATATTGTATCCCAAGAGAGGCAGCAAGACATAGTTGCTAAAGAGCTACACTTGGAGTTAGAAAGACCTGAGTTCAGGTTCTGCCTCTAACACTGGACGTTAAGGATGTGTGACCCTGTGCAAGTCACTTAATTTCTCTGTATGATACACAAAGAGGGGTGCATAAAATCAGGGGGTACTGGATGCCTTCTGACCATCAACCCCTGCTCTAAATCTATGATCTTATAGGATCTCTGCCATCATCCATAATAATACTAAAGAATGGGGTCTTCATGAGGCCTGGAAAGGTGAGAATTAGAAAAGTAGAAAACAAGGCCAGATTTCTTCAGTCCCATGTAAGGGACGAGTTTCATTGACGAGTGAGCACAATGTCCAGTGAGCTCAGCAGGAGATCATCATCACCCAGACCTTGCTCAAGTTATTCCAGAAGACTAGTCAGCTCCCTTTGCTCCAATTCCAGGTTTACCCAGGAACCTTCAAACCTTCAGGTTCTCAAATCATTCACCCCCTCCTTCTGCCCCCGAGGTCAGTGAGCTAATCAGCCAAGACAATCCACTTGCTTATTCCATAATTTACATTAAGAAACAAAACTACCATTCTGTGCTGGGAGGAGTAGGAAAAGGGATGTCTTGACTTCCCCCAAAAAAAGGATGTTCCCCCATACTATTTGGTCTAGACCTCCTCCTTGCTCTTGTCCTAAAGGCACAGAAATCAGATCTAAAAGAGACCTCAAAAATCACCTAGTTGGGTCAGCTAGGTGGTACAGTGGATAGAGCACCGGCCCTGGAGTCAAGAGGACCTGAGTTCAAATCTGGCCTGAGACACTTGATACTTACTAGATGTGTGACCCTGGGCAAGTCACTTAACCCCCATTGTCTAGCAAAGAACACAAAAAAAAAATAAACAAAAAAGGAAGAAATTGCCTAGTCCCATAGTGACAAACTGAAATATAAATAGAAATCACTAAATTGAACATAGGATCCTGGTGGGCTGCATAGGAACTTAGAAGACCACATATTAACATTATCTGTATTTTTATTTATTTTATTAAATATTTCCCAATAACACTTTAATCTGATTCAGACAGCACTCAGGCTGCACGCGGCCCACAGCCCACGTGTCTGACGTTTCTGACTTGATCCAGCTCCCTCATCGTACAGGGCCAGAAACCTGAGGCATGGAGACGGATGTGAAAAGACCTGGCCAAAGCCATACTGCTAAAGGGCAGCAGAGCCTCCCTCCCTTCTTTGCAGAGGTGGGAGGCTATGGCTATGGGACACTGAATAGACACATTTCATCAAAGTGTCATTTAGTTCTGTTGTACAGCCTTTTCCTCTAATTTTCTTAATTCTTTGGTATGTAGAAACAAAATACCGAAACCCCCAATTTAAAGAGCTTAGCTAAAATTTATCAGACCTCTACATTTTAAACATTACCAGTTATTGATCAAAACAAAATACAAAATAAAAAAATTTAAAAAAAAATATAGCATACAAGCATAGGCTATAAGATACCAGAAAATACTTCTTTTAGCTGACTAGACACATTTAAATCTGTTCTCACCAGATTGCCATTGTCTGAAACTTGGAGTTGCAATATCTTTCCCTTGTCCTTGGAGTCAAATGATACTATCCCAATCTAATACCACAAACTGTATCTTTTTCCTGTTTTCCTTTTCTGTTAGTTAAACATGCTGTTCTCAGCTTGTAACTTTAATGGAAACATTGTACGATTTGGTCATTTCTCAAATTTTTCTGCACACATTTCCACCAGAACACAGAAGACCCAGCCTTCCTTGCGATATGTGGTCAATAGGGAGGGATCCCTTGATCAGGCAACTACCTCCAACACCTGCCTTATAGAATAAATGATGACACTTTCTAATACATCTGATCATGAAACGCAAAGTTGAGGGGCTCACTTTATTTGCTTCAGCAATTCCTGGGGATGGCTCACCAGGTAGGGGGACAGGAAGAGACAGAATAGGACAGGGATTAGAAATGAAGGTGATGTGGAAAACAAAGGATATCCATAATTTTTTTTAAAGGAAGTAACACCTGGATTGAACCTCAGGTCCCCCCCCCTTTTCTTTCCCCTTCTTTTTTGAGATTACAGTTTTATTTTTCAAACCAATCACATTATAAGAAATAACGGGGCGGGGTGGCAAAGGATTGCATATTTACACTAAATTCCCTTCAAACTCAACAGGAAGAGTGTCTTCTCATGGAAAGGTTTGTCTCCCATTCGTCGCCAGCCTTGTGCCCATACCTGCACAGGGCCGAGGTCGAAGCTGGGTGGGCTGGGTGGGCATGGGCAGATCTCTGGGCTGTTCTGGTAACTCAGTGTTACCAGGATTCTTGTTCCCACAGCTGCAGCAGAAAGGCCTTCCAATGCCTTCTCACAATGTCCTTACCCCACAGTTCAATTTGTCTCCAATGTATCAGCCTTATCTGGGTCCAGGCCTTGTCCTCCCCTGTCACTTCCCCACATTCAGTTAAACCACTTGAAGGTGGAAAACATGTCATTCTTCATCTCTGTATGTTCAACCCTGCGCACCGACATCTCAGCTGTTTGCTAAACTGAAAGTCTCATGTGAGTCTAGGTACCATGAGTCATTTTTCCCAGGCCCCTTTTCCCCACCCCAGAAGAAGCTGACCACTGACTACCAATCTAAAAAAACTATGCCCTGGGCCACAGAATCACAAGAACATAACTGGAAGAGACCTTAGGGGGTCATCTAGTCCAACACCTTCATTTTACAGATGACGAAACTGAGGCTCATAGAGATTAAGTGACTTGACTGAGGTAATAAAACCTATATGTTCATAAGACCATAGACTTAAGAAGTGACCTTAGAGGCCATCTGGTCTAATCCTTTCATTATGCAGTTGAGAAAAATGAGACCCAGAAAGGTTAAGTGACTACCTAAGATGACATGGTTAAAAAGAGACAAAGGCAGGAAATGGAGACCAGGTCCTGTTCAAAAGCCTGTTCTCTCTCCACTGGGCCGTGATGCCTACCTCACATCTCCCCCAACTCTGAGATACCATAGGACACCCGAAGACAAAGTCTGAAACAACCTTTAAAAAGGTCATTTCTTATTATAATGTTGACCCCCAACTTCCAGACAGAGGAATATTGCCTCAGTCCCCTCGGAATCTGCCCCTGTGCTCAGTGAGTGAGCTCACATAATAGGCCCTTAATAAACCTGGTAAAGGGAAAAGAAAATTCAGAGAAAATGCTGCCTTCAGAGCTAGAGAGAGAGGGGCACCCTGCAGTGGTGAGTAAAGAGTCAGAGTCAGAAAGAGAGCCTGCTCTCTCTTACTGCCCAGGTCAAGCATCAGCATGGTATAGTGGGAAAATCACTGCCTTGGGAGTCACAGGAGCTGGGTTCAAATCCCATCTCTGATGCCTGTAACCCAAAAAACCTTAGACTAGTCACTTAACTTCCATGGGCCTCAGTTCTTTTATCTGTAAAATGAAGGGACTCTGAGGTCTCTTCCCTTCTCAATCTTGAACCCTAGAACTAAGGTAACCTTTCTGCATCACAGAGAAGGATTTTCTTCACCCAGAGTTCCTATGTGCACTGATGAAATCCTCAACAGCGACAAAATAAATGGCTTTCTTCCCAGCCCTATGAAATGTAAGGGCCATTGGGTGCAGCCCAAAGAGGA